TTTTTCGATGACATGCATTGGAAAACCTTTTGCTGTAGGAATAAAAGGTAAAGGTATGAAAAGTTATGTGGATGTATTTTAACGAATTTGATAATGGGAAACTATAAAAATGTACTCAAATAAGCATATAAAAATACACTATACCATGGATGTACTTATTATGAATACCTTAATAAGCCTAAATAATTTAAACTTCTACCCAAATTTACTATTCCACGCGGACGAAGTTGCGGGCATAGCTACTATCATATAAGACCATCTTGGAAGGACAAATTATCAAACTAGAAAGCATGTTCATCAAAACAATATACTCGACCTTTAGATACATGAAAACATTACATGGCAAAGCTTTCACAAATAGACAGGACGATGTTATACAGAATAACTAAACTAACGAGGAGCGTCTTTGAGGGCCCTATTAAAAGTTTTCACTGAACTATTTCGTATTTCTTGTTTTAATTTGATCGTTGATTTTCGATTTTCTTTTAGCGGGTAAGAGGTGCGTTGATATGTACGTACACATACTGTACTACTGTGAGGTAGGAAGATTCGATTGCCCTCGGGACACTATAATGCAATACGTGCTCTCCAATATCACTATCACGGGCAATAAGTATCTAGTGTAATACTAACGCAAATATAACTGAAAAAATTAAACCAACAACAAGTAACGTAAAATTGTACTAACTATTATTTAATAACAAAAACAGGAAAGAGTTTGTAAGGATATGAAAGGTATGTACTAAGAAACATTTACTCATATTATAGTTTATTATACATTTGTATTACGAATAATTATTTCCGTGAAATAACGGAAAATTTTGAGAAATGATAAGGATATCCTTATGTCGTATTTGACATTATTGCTTTGAAGTTAGTGGCGATTTTACTTACCTTTAAATATTTTATCGGTCCGGACAACATTGCAAATTCAAAACCAAATTTCCTACAGACACTAAAAACATGAGTAATGAGAAGTTAAAATATTTCAACTGCAAAACATTGCTTAGCAAATGCCCGATACTGACTCAAGCGCATGTTCACAGTATGCTTGATGTGTGTCACATATTTCCATCTCTTTCTAGACGTATTGGCACTACAATTACATCTTGATTTCGTTAGTGCAATAAGATCTGTCCTGGATATACGAGGTGCTTTGAAAATAGATTTCAAAGCGGTGCCTCTACGGAGTTGAGTACTGCGCTTCCTGTTATCACAGTGTATATTTGTTAGAAGTGGTTTTGCTTTCAGAATTTGTAAGGAGGGATTTATCTACGTTTTGCAACAATTTGAAAAACATTGCCAGGAGCATAAGATCAATATTGAAAGAAGAAAGTAAAATAAAATATACTTTTATTATTTTAAAATTAAAATAAATATTAAGATTTGTCAAAAAAAAAGAAAAATGATTGTCTGTCTGTCCGTCGTGAGTCTACATAGTATTCAAAAGAGCAGCATGACCGAGAGAACACCCAAAAAACTCGACAACTCGAAAGACGTGTTGAAAAAGCCGAACTCAGCTTTATACATTTTTGTGAAGTTATTTACCCGAGCAATTCATATCACTGGCAGGCAGCCTTGTCAGTAAAAAAACGTTTAAAAAGAGAAAAGAATTATAACGATCTTAAATATTTTTTTTTGGAAAACCACAGCTGAAACTGAAACGCGATTAAACTTCACGCCTTTATATCTGTGTGGTGGTTCGTAGCCCGGACGACACTACGATATTCCTGCCAACCATTCAATATCCAGATATCCAATCGAAGTCCGACGTTTCCGAAAAATTATCCTCGCCTTACTGTGTATTAGTTATCCTTTTTCTTATCTTATTCGATTTCCTTCTATAATTCTTGCTGATATCACTACGTGATATAAAAAAAAGTCGCTTTTTCTGTCTCAAATCTTTAAAACTACGCAACGGATAGAGTGATTCAAGGAGGTGTTTATATACGACGTTCACAGTTTTTCTATAGTGTATTTAGTGTCATTGCACACGTGCGAAGCCGGGTCGGATCGCTAGTCGCTTATAATATAAGCTAATAGTATTAAGTTAATGTATTTATTAGAACTTTCCATACGATGGCGATGTTAGGCCATTGTTACACCACGAGTCATGAATAACGTAATTTTTTGGTCCTATATCACTCTTAACAATTGAATTTCACATGAAAAGAATTTCAATTATATAACTGAAACAGAGCGTCCTTTCGTCCTTTATTTTAATAGAAAATTTAAGGCATTTATTATTTAACAGTGGAATGCAAGAGATCATTTACAATGATAAAGTGCTGCAAAAGTTTTAATATTACGGAACAAAATAACGTTTAAATAAAACATTTTAACAGTTATATATATTAGTTAAAATTATTGGAAAATTATTTTAACTACGGCCCGGCATAGTGGATGCTTTGTAGCAGCCATGGTCACGTGTAGACTATATATCGCGTTTTAAACCCTTAAAGTGTTTTATTTAAATATTTACTACTCTTTCAAATAGAACACTTTAACGGTTTAAAACGCGATATTTTGTAGTAAAACTTGTTTGAAAATTATTGTTAACTACGGCCCGACGTTTCAGATGCTTTGCAGAAGCCGTGGTCAGGGGACACAATAACACATAGATAAGAATTATTTCCTAACAAGTTTAACTAAAATGTTCGCGTTTTAAACCGTTTAAGTGTTTTATTTAAATGTGTACTACTCGTGTAAACTACAGAGAGTATTTAAAAGAATGATAGCTAAAGTACTACTAACTAGCTGTGCCCTCGGGTTTGTCCATGTGAACAATACAAACAACCTCATCAGCTTTATAAATTATAGCTCTTACCCACGACATCATCCGTGTCCCTTTGTTCTTTCAAATTATTATTAAGAGATAGTGATATACTGTCGCGGATTTTTTTAAGGAAAGGATAAAGTCATGTCGTAGTGTAAATTAATTATATTCATTCATCATCATCACCAATGAAGAATGACGATATTAATTATATTAAACCGTTACAAATGTTTTAGTTAAATACAGGTAACTACAGAGAATATGAAAGTAGGCTAATAAATTTATCAACATTGAGCCCGAAGCGCTGACGTCTTAAAAAAAATATATAATCATGAAATCATATCGTTAATTAAATATTATACAATTTTTATAGTTTTTTTTTATTTACGTTCGGTCATTTGATTTTACATTGCTTGTTGCTATATAATAATTCACTTAGTATTTATTCACGAAGAAATGTTCAAAGCTGTAAAATTATTAACTTACGTGACGGGGCGTAATTAAAATTATTTTTTAAATGTGCCACGCAAATTTTAATGAAAGTAAGTGGTTGTGGGGTAACAATCATTTAATGTTATTTAGACTATTTATATTTCAAATGCAATAATACAAACGTTTTTTAAATATAACTTACTGACTTAGTTACAGTGTTTTTTAACTGTGGCCCCACGTTTACGTTTTGACTCGCGTAAACAAATACTCGAAAATATTGTGTGTACTGTACACTAAGTCGTTACAGACAATACTTTTCGCTGTGATCGGATTCGAGATCCGGTCACTTTCAAAAATTTCAATTATGAGTTAACTTATTATTGATACATACTAAGAATCGAATAAAATGTTTATTTTAATACATACAATACACACAATGTAAGTTATGGTTTAAATTGTACCACATTAAAGTACATTTATGGTCATAGTGAAATGAGGTAAAGTACGAGAGATTCTGGATTCGACTTCCGGAGAAATTTATTCGTACGGGCAGGCCACAGAGGTCTGTTCAACTAGTCGTCCTTAAACAAAATCTATCAATGAAACGGACACAGTTATGTGCTTGGCCCATGCCCCACAGTGGTAATTGAATTTTACTTTAAATTAATTAAAAGAAAAAATAATTAAATTAGCTTAAATCATAGTCGCCCTGTTTCTATGTTGTATGTTCATAAATCGTTGCTATTTTATTATGTGGGCGAGTACAGGGCACGAGTTGGGAATATAATACAGCGCAGTTTTTTCAAGTTAATTAAAACTTACTAGTATAACGATCATTTATGGAATTAAATAAAAAACATTAACCAGTAGTGCAGTATTAAATAAAGGTATGATTGAATGCTGTCTGTAGTTTACGCGAGAAGTACACATTTAAATAAAACACTTTAACGGTTTAAAACGCGATAAATTTCAGTTAAACTTGTTTCCCACTTGGGGAGTCTCACCGTGACCACGGCCACCACCATCCGAAACCTCGGGCATTAGGTAAAAATAGTTTTCAAACAAGTTTAACTAAAGTATATCGCGTTTTAAACCGTTAAAGTGTTTTATTTAAAGGTATGATTAGTAATACTTTTAACGTTTTAAACAGTGTTTTGATTTTATATTATTTGTATAGAAGTATTTATAATAGGTTGGTAAAGCTGAAGTTTTTGTTCGTATGTCAGGAACGACTGGTTCGAATTGAAAAACTATTTTTGAGTTGGTTAGAGCATTTATCGGGGTAGGCGTAGACTAAAAAATATCATAACAGTGGACAATGAAGGAAAAATACGGATAATTAAAGAGGAATTTAAATAAAACACTTTAACGGTTTAAAAAGCGATATATTAGTTAAACTTATTTGAAAATGATTTTTAACTTCGGCCCGACGTTTCGGATGCTTTGCAGCAGCCGTGACCACGGGCCGAAGTTAAAAATCATTTTCAAATAAGTTTAACTAATATATCGCGTTTTAAACCGTTAAAGTGTTTTATTTAAATGTGTACTACTCGCTACTACTACTGTTTTCACATACGTCATATTCGAATAGGCGTAAGTGGCAAAGGTCGTGCCATAATTACAATTAAGGTGTGACTAAACCCTGCCCTTATTTAACCTCTCCAATTAGGCGAAAATATATCAATACTATGAAACACGAAGCATTTGATGACCTCATTGATATAATATCTACGCTGATAATTTCTTCGCGATTCATTTACGCGCTAGTGCCGCCGTGAGTGGACGTGTAACGATGTTGTTCTTTTTAAGTTTGTTCGTGGCTGCGTACGCGCAGGATCAAGATAAGCTCACTGTAAACACGACGCAAGGTTTCGTCATCGGAAACCGTGCAGCCGATGGAAATTATTACACGTTTTATGGGATACATTATGGTGGTTCTACGGCTGGCGAAAATAGATTTAAGGTAGATTTTTTTTATAATTTTCGGGTTTCGTTTTCTCTTATACTCACCGTTTAATTAAGTAAAAACATTGTGTATATATTAATATCAGTAGTTGTTAATAACATACAGTTAGATGTCCTACGTACTAGGACGTTAATGGGTTTTTGAATCTACCCTCTTCTTTGTAGTTTAGGTAATAAAATACGAAAATAAGTAAATATTTGTACTACTTTCTCTTATGTGCTTTATATGACTGCAAGCACTCTTGATAGTTTATTAACTATCAGGAGTTATAAAAATGATAAGCTTTTAATGGTTTAAAACGCGAATTCTTTTGTTGACCCCGTGTCCACGGCTGATGCAAGGCATCCAAAAGTCGGGCGTCTGTAAAAATGATTTATAAATAAGTTTAACTAATATAATTCACGTCTTAAACCGTTTTTTTTTAATGTGTACTACTCGCGTTGACTAAGTAAGCTAGTTAGCAGTTGAAACTTTTATTTAAACAAAAAGTTTCTTGTTTAAAAATAACGTGTGTGTAAATTTTGTTAAACGAAGATATTTTTTCACATTTTCTTCCTATACAAAACTATAATATGCCAGATTTGTATAAACTGAACAGTACAATGACTATTGTAATGTAATATATTTTGGATGGCTATTGTAGAAACTCTTTAAATATTAATTATGCTTAATGGGGACGATTTAAACATATCGATTAAAATATAGTTTAATCGACAATCAAATTACAATGACGGATCTATAACAGATACTAACTAGTCAATTAAGTATGGCAGTTAAAAATCAATAACATAATGACAGAATTAACCACATCAAAGGTAGCGTGTTTCATTAACACTTATAAATTGTTTATAAATGATAACTTAAGTTCTATCTAAAAATCGAGTATCTAAAATCCCATTACCCCAGCATATGGTGTAGACATATTTCTGTGCCTGTTTCACCAATCAATTCTGTGCCAAACTGAAATAGTGAATTACTTTTCCCCGGGGTTCAAAGGTCTTAACAATTAAGCAACAGAGGCAACCTAATATAATATTAAAGAAAAAAGCAACGAATTTTAACCTTCACAAGCATACAACATTGTTATAAGGCCCAAGACGGATTGTGGCATCATTATTAACTTGTAAACAGTCAGTATGTAAATACTGTCTATAGTTTACGCGAGTAGTACACATATAAATAAAACACTTTAACGGTTTAAAACGTATATTATATACGTATATATATTAGTTAAACTTATTTGAAAATTATTTTTTACTTCGGCTCGACGTTTCGGATGCTTTGCAGCAGTCAAGTCTCCCCGTGACCACGGCTGCTGCAAAGCATCCGAAACGTCAAGCCGAAGTTAAAAATCATTTTCAAGTAACTTTAACTAATATATCGCGTTTTAAACCTTTAAAGTGTTTTATTTAAAACAGTATGTAATTGCGAGAGGTACACATTTTAATAAAACACTTTTAACGATTTGAAACGCGGAATATTTTTGTTAACTTATTTTTGGCTACTGCAACGCATCCGAAACGTCAGGCTATAGTGAAATTAAAATAATCATTATATTTCGCATTTTAAACCGTTTTAAGTGTTTTATTTAAACATTAAGGATTCATTCAAAAGGAATGTAGCAAGGAAAACATACAATATTATTCATCAATCCAAGTTCTTTTAAGTAACGCAGCGTTACGATAAGATTGCATAGTGTGTAATATGATAAGTAATACGAACTGCTAATATAGGTAAATAATAAATATTATCATGTGAGATACGTAAGTACTGCCAGTTGAAATAATAACATTGTGCGTTGGTTTTATTGAATCAAAATCAAAAAACATTAATTCATGTGGGTAACTTAGTACACTTATGAACGTCAAAACAGTAAAAGATTTAAAACTCTAAATTTACATTTATTAACAGTTAGTAATATTACATTTAAAAGTCATAGCTTCATTTAGTATGTAAGTCAAAATCTTATATAGTCTTTGTTTATTTATTTAATTACATTCGTACAACATTACATTAAGTTCATATATAACTGAAAATTATGCGTAATTAACTATTTCAGTTATAGTTATACGCGCGAGTAGACACATTTAAATAAACCACTTTAACGGTTTAAAACGCGATATATTTTAGTTAAACTTGTTTGTGAATTAGTTTTAAGTCTTCCCGTGACCACGTCTTTTGCAAAGCATCCGAAACGTTGGACAGTAGTTAAAAATAATTCTCAAACAAGTTTAACTAAAATATATTGCGTTTTAAACCGTTAAAGTGTTTTATTTAAGTCATAACTAATTTTAAAAAATGCGTTAAAATCCAAAGAAGTACGAAATGGCATGGTAAGAAAACAAACCTAAATAATTATGCTAGTAGATGAATTGTTCATAATTGGCCCTAAAGCTTTTTGTAACGTAACTCATATTCTATCTTTATATAGCTTTTTACATTAAGTTTCTGTACTTATGTGTAGGAAATGATTTTTTTTTCACTGTCCTGCAAATACAATTTTATACAAAAAAAAAATATTCAATTCCAGGCACCCACACCTCCACCAGTTTACCCGGGTGAATATCACGCCATAGACAACAATATTATATGCGCACAGCCCACACAAAGAGGTCTCGTAGGAGTCGAAGATTGCTTAGTCCTCAATATATTCACACAAAACGCTACCCAAAGCAACAGGCCAGTAATAGTTTGGCTCGAAAGCGAAGAATACACCACGAGCAGGCAAGAATCTTACTCTTTCAAAAAGTTAGTGGAAGAGGATCTCGTGGTCGTCTCAATAAACTACCGACTATCCATATTTGGATTCCTCTGCTTGGGAGTACCAGAGGCTCCCGGGAACGCTGGTATAAAGGATGTGATACAAGCCTTGAACTGGATTCAGAAAAACATTGCAAATTTTGGAGGAAATCCGAACAACACCGTGCTTCTCGCTCATGGTTCGGGTGCAGCTATAGCCGATTTGATTACGTTATCGCCTTTATCGCAAAATTTAGTGCACAAAGTTATAGCCATTAGTGGATCAGCTTTATCGCCCTGGGCTGTAGCGTACGAGCCAGTAAATTATGCGGAAGCCTTAGCCGAAAAACTGTCTTACAGCGGTAAATCGAGGGCAGATTTGGCAAAATTGCTAACGTCAAGTGACACCACTATTATTATTCCCGCACTAAATGATTTTAAATTCTTTAACAACACCCCACTATTCGCTCCATGTATTGAGGACCCTAGCCTAGGTGAAGATAGGGTATTGACAGATGCGCCAATAAACATACTTAGAAGTGGCAAGTATAATCACGTACCGTATATTGGCGTATTTGTTGATCGTGAAGGGACAATGAGAGCGAAAGAGGCTGCAGTGGATAATTGGTTGAGTGTAATGGAGAGTAATTTTACGGATTTCGTTCAAGTCGATTTAAAATTCGATGCGGAACAAAATAAATCAGCTGAAGTCGAAAAGATTCGTGAATTTTACTTTGCAAAGCGCGCTATTAATATGGAAACGATTGAGGACTTTCTAGACTACCAAGGCGATACTTTAGCCCTTGTTTCTGTGATAAGAGCAATTGCGGAAAGGGCTAATACTTCAAAAGCGCCCGTCAGACTATTGGAGTTCGCTTATAGAGGAACACATAATTCAGACTGGGCATATCCACAGATCCCGCTCAAGGGTGCAAGACACGGAGCTCTACTGAACTATTTATTCGACTTCGACTTACGTCCGTCTGATGTTGTTTTGCAGGAGTCGATCATACGACGATTTGTATCATTCGCGAAAGACGGGTGAGTAGTATCCTTATTGTAGGCATATCTAAATTTCGTCCAGGTCACGAACCACTGTTAACAGATGTAAAAGCCGTGAAGTTTATTCGCGTTTTGGTCTCACTGTGTGATATTCAAATATCCAAAGCTAAAATAGGTCGACGGCGTATTGAGGTGTTATATTGATTGACCTCCTATATAATAAAACAATATAAAATGCGAACTATATTATTCAATGATTTTGTAGCTTACGACCCAATAGTTCAGTTGCTTTTCATAAGCCGTCACGATGGTTTTCCCGACTAAGTAAAATCTGATACACTGGCGTCATCTATTTCCTCCTAATAGATATTTGAAATTTAAAACCTATTTGTGTTTTATTATTGTATCCACACACGTCAATTGGTACAGTAAAGCAAGTCGTATTGGTCTGAGGCACTAGGCTTTCTTTTATCTTAAACACATACATATATAGCTTCGTTATAACGTAATTAAAGAAAGATCTTTAATAATTAGTAATTTCTATTTCAGAGAACCGAATCCCACAAACTTCGTAAATCCAGGTCTCAAGTGGAACCCATACACTCCTACATCCAATATTGCATTGCGTATAAGCGGAGATGACACGATAACTGCTGGAAGAAGCTTCCAAGAAGAAGAAAGATTGAATATCCATCAACAAAGAATGGAGTTCTGGAATAACATGTACCAGAAGTTCTACTATCCACCACAACCTACCTCGTCAGCAGGACAGCTGCTACGTTTCACTTTTATTGTTATGCTCAGCCAACTAATTATTAAGTTACTTTAACTTGCTGTAAGTTACGAGTAGTACACAGTTATAAATAAAACACTGTGCCGGTTTAAAACAGATATATAATAGTTCAACTACTGCCCGACGTTTCACCTACTGCAAAGCATATATATCGCGTTTTAAACCGTTAAATTGTTTTATTTATAAGTTTCTTTAGGATGAGTATTATGACGTAAAAATTTATTCCATGAATATACATGAAATTTTTAGCGATGTAGTGATGACGTATTAAATTAGTAATTGCCATGTCCTTCATGACTTATTGACACATTTGTCACTTTAAGTCATGAAGGAGTCATAAGTAGAGACGTACCATAAAATATGCTTTTAATTAAGATGGTAGATATATTTGACGTTATAATAAAAAAAAGTTATCACTGTTAAAACGTGCATAAACACATTTTTGTAGATCAATATCAAAATTGTATTAGGATTGATATTAATTGTTTTATGGTAATTAATAAAAGAAATTAAAGTTTTAAAAATATTTTCAGTATCCCCTTAAACTCTACAAATACTCTTTATTCGTTAGAGTTTTAAGTGCTTCCAAAGTCCCTAAGCTGGTAGTACTATCAAATTAAAATGTTGAAATACTGTGGCCGAATTCGTCGGGCCTCGTGATATACAATCGAATGCACCCCTAGACCGACAAAACAGTTTTTGAGTTATTATCTATACTAATATTCTTAAGCTGAAGAGTTTGTTTCTTTCTTTGTTATATACAAACAAATTAACGCGCTAATCTCTGGAACTATTGGTTCCAATTGGAAATGTTTGTTGTCTTGGATAGACCATTAATGACGGTTGGTTTTAGGCTATATAACATTACGTTGCGAAAATGTTGAAAATATGGGGTAAATTGTCCATCCAAAGATTAACACGCAAGAACGAAGTCGTAGGTAACAGCTATTTTTTATAAGCTGAGGTTGTTTGCAAAAAATATTTCTTTGCAAATAACCTCAGCCCAAAAACTCTTGATGCCCAAAATAACAATTCCACGCGGACAAAGTTCCACGTACGGCTAGTAACACTAGCTATAATCATTATTATCTATATTAATATTAAAAATGCGAAAGTATCTCCGTCTGTCTGTCTGTTCCGGTTTTAACTCCGAAACTACTGAACTGATTTAAATTAAATTTGGTAGACAGATATTTTAAAGCCTGAGAAAGGACATAGGCTACTTTTTAATGCCAAACAAGGGTTGAAAAAGGGGATAAAAGTTTGTATGGAAATTCGTGGTTTTTGAAGCTAGAACAATGAAACTTTCTTCTTTGGCTTTTTAGGAATGGGAGTGGAAGTGGAACTGAGAGTGTTGCGGCAAAGTAAGACTTACAAAATAGATTGACTGCCTTAAATGCGCCCTTATATAAATAAATAAACAGCCTCGTTCGGTTATTCAACATTCAGATAATCCACGCGCCATAGATTATTAAATATAATTTTGTTTATGTTGTCGTTGCCGTTGCCATGGCAATTATTTTAAACGCTAAGCCCAAGGTTAGTAAATTATCTTTGATGGGTTTGCAGCCATTTGCGTGTAAAGACATAAAATGTCATGCAAACATATACTTTAACACAAGGTAATGCTTTTTTTTCCAATGGGGAAATATATTACTGTGTCTGTTTATTGGTCATATTTACAGACAAGTGATTAATCAGATTACTGTAAGTGCAGGGCTCGGGCGAAATCTTACGTCCCTGACTAATAATTAATATTCAAACGCTGAATCCCTCGCGCTTACCACTGAGCAGAATTTATCGCAATAGCATATTTGAATACTGTCTATATACGCGAGTAGTACACATTTATATAAAACACTTTAACGGTTTAAAACGCGATATATTAGTTAAACTTATTTGAAAATTATTTTTAACTTCGGCCCGACGTTTCGGATGCTTTGCACCAGCCGTGGTCACAGGGAGACCGGCTGACCGGCCGAAATTAAAAATCATTTTCAAATAAGTTTAACTAATATATCGCGTTTTAAACCGGTAAAGTGTTTTATTTAAATAGCATATTTGGTTTTATACTTTAATTTAAATTGACAATTCATTTTGAATTCGCTTGTAGAACCAATTTTTAGGTTATTGTAGACAGTTAATACAGTTTCGCATTGAAAAACAAAAGCGTTTTAAAAACATGGATGACGCAGACACGAAATTAGGTACTAATGCAACAATACTAATATTTTTTTTTAGTTTTATTATATAACTAGATATTTTTACGATAGAGAAGGACAGACAAACATAGGGTACACATGATAGGTAAAATACCCCAGCCATATAACACTTAAACAGGATGCGCTATCGGCCTATTGTGTCTTTAGATATACGGTAAGCCACAAACTGAAACAGAGCATGTTTCAGAAAAAATATAAATTAATTAGAAAAATGTTCGACCCGGTGAAGACCGCAGCCACGACCCGTTGATTATAACGTACATAGCTACCATTAGGCCAGCTCGACATAAATCTACTGTAAAATGTAACGATACATAGCGTTTAGTTTAAACTTAAAATTTTCCTATTTGGTTTGGTTAACTATCTATCTAAAACTCTCTAACAATCCAAAACCAATATAACGTATCCCTTATTAAAGCAAATAAGCCAATTCATCCGAAATTTATAGAACTAGTGTCCCGGATGCCGGAAAACTCGACAATAGAGGGACATTTCAGCCGCAAATAACGTCGGCCCTCGCGGGATATTGAAAAAATATTTTTCCCCGTTTTTACGGCACACACTGTAGTCATGTTCGTTATTTTATCAGAAATAAGGTATTCTTTGTGGAATTGAAAATACTGGCTTTCATTTAATATCGTGAAATTGATAGTTAAGTAAAGACTGCCTGTAGTTTACGCGAGTGATGCACATTTAAATAAAACACTATTAAAACCGTTAAAAGACATAGATATTTTCATTCATTTCTATTTTCAAATTTTCAAGATATTTCAATTCGTTTCTCAAATACTGTTTGTTGTTTACACGGGTAGTACACATTTAAACAAGACACTATTGCGGTTTAAAACGCGATATATTTTAGTTAAACGTACTTGAAAATTATTTGTAACTACGATTCGACGTTTCGGGTGCTTTGCAGCAGCCGTGGTCACGGAAAGTTCGGCCGGGCCGTAGTAAAATAGTTTTCAAATAAGTTTAACTAAAACATATCGCGTTTTAAACCGTTAAAGTGTTTTATTTAAATGCTAGTTAAGTAGTAAAAAACTCAAACCATTTATTAATGTTGACTTGATGGTAGGTGAAATACGCCAGCAATATAACATCTGAACAAGATGCGCTGTCGGCCTATTTTAGCGTTGGATATTCGATTTATTTTATTTTTGTTTTGAATATTTGGATTTTGAATATACTTAAATAAACTTTACCGGTTAAAAACGCGAAACTAACATATGTTTTAGTAGTCGTTATATTCGTCTATTAATAGACTAACGTTTGATCCACAACGCGTGTATCTACGATAATACCACATTATCGATCTTATTTGCACAAGTATTTTCTTTGGCATTTATCTTGTTAGGTATTTCGGATGCTGTGTTATTTGAGAGTTTAAATATAGTTCATGGAGCAGTCATAACTTACGAGGTAAAGATGTTCAATTGAAAAGTAGTATGACCTTTAAGAAGATATATGAAAATACTGTCTGTAGTTTACGCAAGTAGTGCACATTAAATAAATAAAAAATTAACGGTTTGAAACTCGTCGTTTAGTATTTTATTTTATTGAGTACCTTTAAAAGTTTTTTACCGTAACACTAAGTAATAATAAGAATTAAAAATCGATAGCAAATTGTTGTTTGTTACAACAATTTCCTATCGTTGTAACAAAACCATTTATTATCGGTTTTTAATTAATATTGTGCCATCATGTACAATAACAAAACTATTAAAGTTTTCAAACAATAAATAAAATAAATTACATGTTAACGTTTAAAATATCTATGCATAAACTACCTAATTTATATAGGTACCTTAGGTACTTGAATAATAGAAAAGGTAACAATATGTAATTTTTGTAACTTTTTTTATAATCTTAAGTTAGTATGAAACCCTATGCATGCGGAATAAACATGCATAGGGCTATGCATGCTTCACTTCCCTTCACATCTGAATGCCTATAAGAAATCGCTGTTTAGCAATAAGGGCGCCTTTTATTTTTAAGCTAGTTCATCAGTATTTATCCATGTGAACTATTTCTATTGTGTTTATAATTAAAAAGGATAATACAAAAACACAGAAATAAATGATTATCTTCTAGAAACATAGTCGTTGATACATTCTACTTCCAAACTCCTATCTACCTCTATCCTATATGTATGAGATATAAATTTCATAATAATTTTCTCAATACCAAAGTTACTTTGCACGCTGCGGAAATCGAACCCTGAACGTTGTAATTAACAGATGAGTATGCACTACTACTACTAGAAGCAGCTGCTTAGCTAGGCAAAAATAACTTAACAATTCCACAACAGCACTACACAGTTGATCCATAGTTGCATCGGGCGGAACGAACCTCATCGACATTGTACGGTCCACAAAAAAATTCGTACGACATACACCAACACACCGTGTACCGAAAATCATGTGGAAAATCATTATATATAATATATAGTACAATTAAATAATAATACCAATTTATTAGATTGTGAGTAGATTTTCCGTATTTTTTATAATATTAGTAACAGAGCATATAAATGTTTTGAAAATCGGAAGCCAAAATAGATTACCATCACATGATGCCCATGTCTCGCCTAACACATAATACTTTGTTGTACTATTTTGATAAATTCACATAAGATAATTTTTGCTGACCCTACCCAGCATCGTATATGGTCCCTACTTGATTTACGTAGCTGCACCGTTGGTCGTTAGGCTGCAATCTTGAATTAATCTATGATTCACTATCCCTATCACGCGCGGGAATAATTCCGCAAAATAGAAAGGGACAGATGCCCTGGTACCGATAGCATATACG